ACTTAGCTTAATTTGCATGGATGATTCATCTGTACACAAAAGAGAATTCTCAAATTAGTGGCATTGCAGCAAGGCAAGTGACTTTGAAAGAATTTGTGAGGGGAGGGAAGAGCCAGAAATAAGGAGGCTTAAAAAAAAAAAAAACGCAGTGTTGCTGCATATTCTGTCAGATGAGCCATAATGAGATTATGACCCAAATTGGAGATATTAAATATATTTTATCACTGTAAATTATGTATGCGCAATCTAGTGAGCTGCCTTCACTCCTAGACATTGTGGATGGCTTAATTTGACTTTAAGACAGGGATGAATTTCATTTAGACCTCCTCTGATTACTTTAAAAACACTGCTGTAATTACAATGAACTGCACAAGTCAGATTCATGTAGCTGCTGATGCTCTGTGGATGAACTGAGCAATGTCTTTTATAAAGCCACAAGAGGGCAGCCTTGCTATGCTAAAGCTGAAAACCCACGCTGTTCTGGCAGAGTTTGTGCTCAAGTGTATTCTGTGGAAATGTAGTTATTTAACCTTTTTTCTTTTTAAATAAAGCTAATCCTGTGCCCTTGGATGATGTGAAGTGCCAGCAATGATAGCATTTATATCGATGCATTGCCTCTGGAAAGCTTGCTGGTGGATTACATGAATCCTAACTCCTGTATGTAGGATAGGCTCCCTCAATCTGATGCCCTCCAGATGTGTTGGATTACAACTCCTATCATCATGACAGTTGGCGTTGGAGTCAATGCCCGATTGGGAAGTTGATGTTGTGTAGCGCCAGTCAAATGTGATCAAGGCAGATGAAATGCGGGTGAACAGCGTGTGTAAATTGTGTCCTTTACCTGGCACCTTGGATACAACTCATCTGGTGCCTTGGCACTCACCTTGATGGCGCTGGTAAAGTGGCTCAGAACGCTTCCTTTTGTTAGGAAGATGGCTGACTCTTCCTGGAGGAAAGAGGCCTTCTGGGAAGCGGGGCTCGACTGCCCGTGCTCAGGTGTCCCCAGGATCCCTGCAGGAGTTGATGGCATCAAGTCTTTCGTGAAGAAGCTGCAAGTCTGGTTCTTGAGGCTGCCCTGTGGCTGCTTGGACAGACTTGGGCAAGAGAGAAGACAGGGCTCCCCAAAGATCTGGGAGAGCAGTATGCCCAGCTATGCTCAGCCTACATGGGTGTATAAATAAGCCGTCTACCAGGAAAGTGCTGTAAGTCTCTAGAATCTCATTTTAAGGAAATCAATAGCTTGGGCTAATATATGAATTCTGGAGTTCAGAACTTTTAGGTTTACATAACATATTATGTCAACAAATCCATTGAGCCTGGGATTGGCAATATTTGATGGAAAACCTCTCCCAGCCACAGGCTACCTGGAGACTATGATTAAAATCTGGTACCCCACTTCCACTGACACCTCTGATGGAGGCTCAGTTGGTGGCACCAAGGAAAAGGGCCTTTTGAGTGGTGGCCTCTCAGTTATGGGACATACTCTCTGCTGAGGCTCACCAGGCACTGACTGCTATCCTCCTGGAGCCAGATTGTTCTCTATGGCAGGGCATTTGATCAGCTCTAAATATTATATTGGGTGTTATGTCAGCAAACAGGCCTTGTGTTCCAATTTGTGTTAGTGTCTGTAGCTGTTCAAACTGGCTTTTAAGTCTGGCTTTTAAAATTTGCAGGGTAATTTTGGTAATTATGTTCCTGACATGTTATAATGACATGACAAAAGTGATAAGATGCAGGGTCACTGTACCCAGTCCTGGTTACTGGTGAGTGATCTTATTTTGGCCAGTCAGTGGGATTTGCTCATTGTATATAAAATTAGGGCCAAAGTCCAATTAAAAAGCTAGTCCATTTTTTTAAAGTAGCAGAGATAATTGGGCCTTTAGGGATTTGTAGCTAAATATCCATTACAGTTCACATTTGTTTAGTCCATTAAAAGGACAAACTGTCTTGGACAGCAGGTTCTGTACAGGATTTGGTAAGTGGATTTGCTTTTTACTTCATCTCTTACTTGACTTGCTGCTTAAAAAATCTACTTGATCATCAGAAAAGTGAGTTGTTTCATTTCCAATTCTCTGTTTTTTTCTGAGCTAACTCTTTAGAATGTGTAATTCATGTATGTAAAGTTCAGTAGTAATATATATCTATTCAGCTCCATTGTACCAACCCACTTTAAAAAAGCACGGTATGCTTGTTTATTTCATAGTCATTAACAGCACATAACTAGTTTTTTTTAAAAGGGAGACTGAGAGAAGGAGAGATGTGCCACTTCTTTTTTAAGACAGAGACAATCTGGGGAACAATTGAGAATTAAATCTACATTCATAAATTTCTTAATTGGCAAAGTCATCATCTTTAATTGCTCATTATAAAGGATACTATAAAAATGCACTAGGACTAGATGGTTAGCAGATGATATTACAGGGGGTCATAAAATGCATTTTGTAATATGTAAATAGAGGGAGGAGAAGCCGCATTTAGCTGAAAGGACTAATGCGATTTAGAAAGTGTTTTTAATCAAAAGCCAAACTGCAGTTCTTCAGCTGTGAGCACAACATCTCTTTGCAAGGCTGGCAATTAAATCTCATGTACTGTGATGGAACCCCATTATCTTCTTGGAACTGGTTCACCACATTGAGAGTGCTGACGACTCTCTCTCTCCCCTGCATGCCCACGGTCCTGCGAACCATGTGGCATCTTCTCAGAGCTATGCAGCTAGTGAACCTGCTCTGCTGCACTCGGGATCGCTAGATAGAAAGCAGCGCCGTCCCAAATGGTTGGCAGGAAAGGTCTGCCCGTGCAGTTGTGCTCTCGTAAAGGGCTGTGCTTAACTCTCCCGGCTCATCGCAACCCTCCAGAGTTCAAGTGCAGGCTGAGCAACTGGAGCCAAGGATCCAGCACACCGACTTCTCCCGTTGCCTTTCAAGGCGGTTGGGGTGGGTCCCTGCAAACTGACTCAAGCTGTGGAAATGACAGGTGATTAACATCTTCCCTTCCCATGGCACCGAGCCTCTGGAGAGCAGCTGCATTCTCAAACCGCATTGCCCCAGTAGAGCGCCTTCCTCTAAAGGTCAGGAGTGCGCTTGTTATTTACGCTGTGTGTAAATCATTACTCACCGCCCCAGAATACCCTTGTCTGATGCAAACTGTGGTGCCACAGATGGTGCTAAGGGATGATTCTGACCTGGGGAAGAAGGAAGGCGGCATTGAGACCATGGCTGCGTGCCCCCCCTTTTGCCTAATTTACAAGGTAAGGCTTAGTTCAGTGTCCCTCTTCTGCTGAAACCAGGTATCCTCTGCTTCAGAAGAGCTTTTAATGTGGCTGCATCCCAGAGGAAGGGAAGAGCACCGCTGTTTTCAGAGTGTGCTAAAAGAGAAGCCGAGCAGTTTCAAGTGAGGGTGGACAAGCGTCGCAGCGAAGTTCAAAGATCCCTGAATAAATTCAGGATTAATTTTCAGAAAAGGAAAGGAGAGCTCTCTGGGGCACTGACTCTCCTCCAAAGGAAGCCGCTCTCCTCTTTTTGCTTCACTTCACAAGCTGCTCGTGTGAGGTCCAGGGTGTGGGTGGCAAGCAACTGTGGGCAGGGTGCCAGTGCAGGTGGAGCCCTGCTGGAGGTAGAGAGGGCTGGAGGCAGGAGACGCCTCTTTGAACAGTCCAGGGTCAAGGGCCAGCAAGACATGAGGGGCCAGGCAAACACACAGCCCAAGAACGCAAAGTCGGGAAAGATAATCACGTTCTGGAGCAAACCGGGTCAGGGAGGAGGGTGTAAGTACCTGAGGAGATGCGCTGGGCTGGAAGATTCAGGCAAGGTGATGGAGGAAGCCAAGGGAGCCACCAGGACGGTTCGTGTTGATGGGGCAAGGAGCAGAGGGGCAGGGGCCTCTTACACCGCTCTCCGGGGCTTCCGGCCGTGCTGCAGAATCGCCCCTCTGCTGCTCCCTGCAGGCGCCGACAGAGGCGTCCCTGGTTCTGCAGGCTCTTGCAGGGGGAATCAGGCGCTGATCCTGGCAACATGGATGTAGATAACATCCAGCAGTGGATGAATTGATGTTGCATTTATTTGGAAGAAACTGGACCACCAGTGCATGTCTGACTGTGTGGTTGGTCCAAGATACTGGTCAGCCTCTTGTTTCCAAACTGCATTGCACAAGTTTTATGGGATTGCGTCTTTGAGTTGCTTACTGACATTAGTAAAAGGGGGAAAAAAAGAAAAGGAAAAGACAGGTCTTTGTTTAACAGGCTGTCGATCTGAGAAATGGTTTGGAAGAGCAATTGTAGCAGTCTTTATTGACATATGTCCCACAAACGAATGAGCCAAGAAAACCTGTATCATCTCAGGAATGCACTAGCTCTTGCTTGGATTGTTTATTTTTGCTTCCTCTTGTGCCTCTTGGCTCAACTTGACCTTCAGTGATCTCAGTGTAATTACAGAGAGGTTCATAATAATGCACTGTTATTAAAACAACTCATTTTTCCCCTAACACAATTTCTGCACACATTTTCTTGTGAAACAAGCTGATTCAAATACTACACAACTATGCACTTTGAACAGGATGTGGGAGCCATCTTTGGTGTGGTCCAGTGACTAGAAACATAGAAACAGAGCAAGTCAGAAGGGGTCTCCTGGGCCATCTAGTCTGACCCCCAGCTCCAGTCAGCTCCGCTCACGACATGCCCGCCATGGACAGATTTTAGATATGCTCTTATTTCTACTTCTTTCAGGGACTAAAGCTATTGGATGTGTGTGTGGAAGAAGCATCTATCAGTTGTGTGTGTGTGTGTGTGAGAGAGAGAGAGGGAGGGAGGGAGGGAGGGAGGGAGGGAGGGATGCATGGGTGGATAAATCTAGGTCTGATATGAGTTCAGAGAGGACAGAAGAGGGAAATATGGTTGGAGGGAGAGTATGCACCAAGGTAGAGTATTTGGTTGGAGGGACAAAATAACATGGAAAGGCAAGAACAGTTGGCTGAGAAAGCTGAAAAACTGGATGAAAGATACTTATTGGTATGGAACAGAACAAAGCAAGAGGAAGACTTTCTTAGAGTAGAGTTTGATTCCAAGAATTATAGCTTAACTAATGAAAGGAAGATCTTTCATTAGGAACACTGGCAGCAGTATGTTTTGTACACTTGAGGTGCTGAACAAGTTTACAGGGTGCAAGATGCTCAGGCTGACATGTAACATGCAAAGAGATTTAAAAATATGCAGTATTTGGCTCACAGAATCACAAAATAGTAGAGTTGGAAGAGGTCAAGAAGGTCATTGGGTCTATGATCACAGATGGGGAACAAGCCAAGCTTGCTGGCTTCGCATGATGTGAGAAGCCGTGCTGCTGAGGGTAACTATGCTAATCTTCCCAGCTCATGACTGGCACACGTGGGGTGGTTAATGAGCCATGGTATTAATCACCCTGTGATCATGCAAACTGGGTTATAATATGGTTATGTGTTTATATTAAATCATGGTAAATACTGTGTTTAAATTTACATTTATAAGTATATTTTAGCATGTGCAACCTCTGTCCTTTTTATCCCTTTTTACCTTTTATTTTGGCAGTTTGTAAGCAGCTGCCCTGTCTGAGCAGAGGTTCAGCTCTCATTTGTGTTCTCCGGATTGTGCCTTCGCCAGCTTTAAAATATAAGAATACTCCAGAAATACCTGTTTTAGGGAACGAGGCAGTAGCATGAATACAGTCTCAGATTAATTGCGGGTGTATCTCTGTGCCAGTGAAATTGTTGGTTGTGAAACAGAATGTGTGGAACAGGGTAGAACGCATCTGCAATGCTCCCTTGCAAAGAACGCTTTTACTGCTGTGGTCCAGAGTTGCACTGCAGATGGCGCTGCAGAATGATGGTTTTAATCCAGCACCGCCAGTCTGGACTCTCATAATGCTTTCCCAATCTGGTTTCTTCCACAGGTGTTGGATGTGGAAGAAAACCTAGGAGATGCAGAACTGTCTGTGCATATTTTCAAATGGGAATTTGGATTTACTGTGAAAAGCATACACTGATAACGCTGATTAACTGTAATCAAAACGTGGAACGCTCACCAAGGTAAGGAGAAAGTTTGTTTAATTTAAATAGATCACAAGAATGTCTGTATTGTCAAATGCAGTCTTCCTCAACATCACACACCCCAGCAAAACACCCAGAAAAATGAAGCTGGGTGAGGATGATAGGAGTTGTAGTCAAACACCTTTGAAGGGTACCAAGTCAGGCTTATGTAACGGCTTCTATTGCTATAATTTGATGACTATGCAGGGAACTATTTTCTGGGATGGTGAGGCAAACACATACCTGATTAGAAATTAAACATTTTTGAGTATTGATACACTTTCTGATCCTGCTTCTATCAAAAGGCACAACAATCTTGAATTTTGTAGATAATTCTCATTTTCTTGAGAACCAGCAGGAACCTGTGCCTATTTTTAAAGATTCAGTTGCCTGCATTCAATCCTGCCTAGAAGCTTGTTGCACAAATCTCAGCACTCTTCAGTCAAACCCAGATGTGCCAGGGTAAGGCATCCTTGGGCATCTGCCAAACTACCAGGATTTTGGCTGGACTCACTGCCAGTGCCTGTCCTGGAGCCCTCTTAGCTTTTCTGACCTGTCTGATCAATGCCAGAAAGTTCACACATGGTAGCAATTCCTGTCCACCTGAACTGAACTAGGTGGGTGGACCAGATGCTGGGAGAAGCCAGACTGTACTCCATGAGTTGGATGTCTGACTGCTTTCAGGTAGACGACCTAGAACACGTCTGTTCCTGGGATTCTTGCAAAGAGAGCTGGTGGAATGTTGGTCTGTTCTGCAAGACCATTCTTAGTTCTCTAGCAACGTGGGCAGTCAGGGCCAGGTTATTCATGCCTTTTCTAGAGTGTGTGTTCTTCTTTACAAATTCAGCATGTCTTTGGAAACAACAAACATCTAGTTCTTAAAAAAAGAAGCAGCAGCAGCAGCCACACTTATGTATTTCTATTTAAATAGCTGTTTCCCACCTTTTAGGATATAAATACTCCCAAACTGGCTCACAAGTAAAATCAGAATATAGTCATGCAATAATAAATGTGATCATATAAAAGAGAATGTATAAGGATTCTTCCTATGGGACAGTTAGTATCAATTGGCTGGAGGTGAGGCGGGGCAGAGAAACAGTTCAGTGGCGGCAGTGGTCGTCTTCCCTGCGTCCTTTCCACACTCTCCTCTTTATTCCCATGAGGCATTTGATAGAAGGTCGTCCCGTGTGTGCATGTGTGGGCAGGGATGGTGGCAATGATGACGACGACGTCCCAGACGGCATCTTCTCTGCCTGCCTCCCCATTCCGTGGTCAGCTAGCCCAAACAAGACATTCAGTGGTCAGCCGGCTTATCTCTGACGCACAGTGTCCTTTGCAGAGGTAACATTTCTTTGCACAACTTGGACAAAATATTTGCCATCTGGCTCACCATTGCTTTATTTCACAGCTTGGAGCCAAAGCAAAGAGGTGTGACTGGAGCTTATCCCCAGTAAAGTGACAGTTGCAGGCATGTCTGTACCTCTAAAGTGATTGTGAGTGCAAACTACTCCTTGGAAAAAATAAGAGGGTGCACAGCCAGAGATGGAATGTATGTACTTTTCAAAACACACATGCACCCTATTTTTAGTTCAGGATGAAAAAGTAGCTCAGGAGAGCTTTCTAGTATCTGAATCAGATTCATGTTGTGGCAACATTGCACACAACGTGATTGGAAGCATCCTGACACATGTCGTTACCCAAGTGAGCCAGAAGGCTGAGAAAGCAGACCAGCATCCCTTGACTAGGGTTCAGAGCAACGCTACTCCTGGCTGCTTTCAGGCCTCCAATACTTGTTTCTCAGCCCTGCAGAGCAGGCCTCAAGTCCCTCTCTGTTACCCATGGCATGATTTCTGTAATTTCAACCAGCAGTGTTCAACTTTTCTGGACCTGGGATCCACCTTTAATTCTGACACACAACCATCTTTTCCAAATAGCCTTCCTTCCTTCCGTCCTTCCTGCCTGTCCTTCACTTTCGCATTTCTCTTTCTCACATATCTCATCACATTTTGTTTCTAAGAGTACAAGAACCACATGTCCATGGAAGCCCACAAGCAATAGCCCATTCCTCCTTGCGTTTCCCAGTGAGTGGTATGCAGAGGCATCCTGCCTCTTTTTACTGGATGTAATATAAAGCCATCGTGACTAGTAGCCATGTGCTTTAAAGTATCCTGGCCAAACAGTTGAAGGGCAGTGACTTAAAAGGACTGAACAGTGTTATGTAAAACAAATCATAGGCACTTTGCATTTTGTGGCACAGTCTGCAAACTCTAGTGCTGTGTCCTGCCCTGAACACTTCCTCAACCTCCCAAGGGAAGTGCAGAAAGAGAACCTGCCAGGAGGTGGTGATGGAGGCAAGCGTGAAGTGTGCACTCGGTGCCTCTCCTTTTATTATGAGATGTGGCTGATGAAGAATTGATCTTGGTTTGGGTGTGAATATAATCCCATCCCCTCAAGAATTCTGCTTTTAATCATCCATTTCACTTAATTTCCACTCTGATGTCAGCTTCCCCCCACTGGCTTGCAGCTTTTTCTGCTTTTATTTTACATTACTTCTAAATTATATATCGTCCCTTTCACTCAGTGGCTTCCTTTTTTCTGCCTGCAGGATGAGGTCCTGTGCCAAATCAATGCTTCCTTCTCAGCGGCTGTTCCTGGCATATGTGTTAATGGTGTGCTGTAAATTGTTGTCCGCGACTAGCCACCATCCCCGGGGGCACCCAGGTAGGAGCTTTTAAACTCATTATGCACTGCCGAGGCCAATTAATAACACTCCCCCAATGTTACAGTCCACTTTTATCCATGGATAATTGATGAAGCTGTTTGGCAAAGTGTTACAATCAGAAAGAAAAAGAAAGGAAGGCTATGAACACACGCAAAGGAAGATGATTTATTGCAAAGATGTCAAAGGAGTTCATGATAATGTTTATATAGTGAGTTTTCTTAAGCAATTTCATGGCTTCCCTGGATTTGAGGCATTTAAAAAAATCTCTTCCATGTATCCAGTAGCAAAGTATATAAAACTCCTGATTCCATAGAACAGAAAAGAGAACAAAAAACATTCTGGAAAATGAAGGGGGTGTGATTGTTCCCTAGCTATAATTCATCTGTTAGTTTTCCCCCCTTCATGTGATAAGCTGATTGCTTCAACAAAATAGACTTCTTTTGTGAGCAGCTGTTAAAATTCTAAGCAGTTGGCAGTCTGTGGATGAGAAACATCAGACTGTCTTGTGAACATTTTCTCGCTCTGAACAGATATTTAATGATGGGAAGGGGGAATCAGGTACCAGGGTGAGGTTGTCACCTGAGGTAGAGTAGTGCAGCAGGTGTGACTGTACTCAGAGGCCTTGGATTGGGGCCAGGATTAGAGACTGAGTCTACCCCCACCTGGCCACTTGCGTGTGCTCTGTGTCCCCCTGGAATGGCGAGGCCTGCTTCTTTGCACAGGCACCCCCGCTCTTCAGAGTAAACCCATTTGGACCAGTTGGAAATTTTGTATAGGAAATATTGGGATTCTGCCCACGGCTTGAGGCTCTTTATTCTTCCATGTTGTGCGGGGGTCGTTGTACTTGACTTTGTGGGCCCTGCTGCTGCTCAGAGTAAAGGCCAGTGAGGACCAAGCTACATGTTCTTCTAAGCATGGATGGCAGACAGTGGGCAGACAAATGCTCCACTGAGCCCCACAGAGGCAGTTTTTAATTTTGAATTCTGATGGAAGTGGCTTTAATTTTATAACCTCACCACAAGAGTTGGAGTTGCACCCTCAGTCCTGGAATTCTCTGGCCCCAGTCCGCATGTTTGCTCAGAAGTAATCATAGCCAAGCAGTGAGCGATTCACACAGCGTTTAGTTTGGCCCTGAGTGCCTCAGGCATGCTAGCATGCCTGAACCTCCCTTGACACGCAGGACAGTTGTGGGAATAAATGAGAGACACTTTGCAAAGTACTCCGGCAAGACAGAGCATGTGAAATCATAACCATGATCTCTTTCTCTGAGCAGTTCTGGGGGTCCAGTTCTCACCCTGGTTTGGCTCCCTTTGGAAGGACATCACTAGAGGCTTTTGGTGTCTTGCATTTGCATTTATTTGCAGATTTAAATATTTGCATTTATTTACAGATTGAGCATAGGTGAAGCCCAGTTTAAAACACTCCAACGGACAGGCAAACGCTTCTGCTGCTACAGCAGATCTCCTGGGAGAAGCCAGCACCTTGCGATGCTGACAGAAACCAAGCTCGGATCTATGTCTTTTCCTCATCACTGGCAAAAATTGGAGTTTCTCTTCTTCCTCTGACCTGCTTTGCAAAAGTAACAGGAAGCCACTTGTTGTGGGCGAATTCCCTGCGGGGTTTCATATAGCCATGGCAGAAGAACATTGTACCTTGCTCTTATGTGCACACCTTGTGAGGTTGGATAGCTGGGGTGGTTAGCAATCCCTCCCAACCCATGGCTTATTGTAAGCACCTGAGTGGCTTGTTAACCACTGCAAGAACTCAGCCTTGCTGGATTCTCATGTAACAACAAACTCATGTGTTGTTGCATCTCCAGCGCAGCTTAAATTTCAAAATGGCAGCTAAAACAACAACGAGGCAATTCCCTGATGATGCCTGTGAACCAACTCACAGATACACAGATTCCCTCCTATTTGGGGAAAGGTGTGGGTGGCACCCTCTTTCTGGAATGCCACTTGCAGAAAGGCTTGCCTGGAGCAGACTGTTCCATTTTTTAAAAATGTACCTCTGGTTTACATATTCCTGAAAAGCTGCTCTCATGCAAGAGGCTGCATCAGAGATCAGATTGTTCATCTGTCTAGCCTAATCTGGTCTACTCGGGCTAGCAGTGGATCTTCAGGCTCTTCTGTATCACCTGCTACCTGATGCCTTTCTGTTGAGATGTGGAGGCTGAACCTGGGGCCTCCTGCCTGCAGAGCACCTGCTGAGCTGTGGCTACTTGTCTCGCGACTGTTGTGCTGTCGCTTCCATCGTGGAGGCCCGTGCAAGCATAGCACAGCATGCTTTCCACAAAAAACGAACGGAAGATGCTCTCCTTACTAGTTCTGTGAACTGACGCTCCAGTTCAGTTGTTCCCAGACTGATACCCTCCAGACAGAGATGCGGGCCGGAAAACTCAGTGCCTTATTTCCCCGTGTTTTTCCATTTCATTAGTAACAATAAATGAACGCCAGCTGCAAACACAATGGTAGACCAGCTTGGCAGATTCAACATTGTAATGTTTGCTGAATCTTAGATGTCACTGAAGAAAATGCATAGATGCCACTGAAGTACGTTTATGTACCTTCAGAGCACTAAACTCTGTTGAAGTACAAGAATGATTGCCTGCATAATGTGCACAGTTCTTTGGGTTGCTAAAATGTATTTGTTGGTCAACTGTTTTCCGTTCCTTTGCTTTTTCCTTAAATGTAAACAAAGTAGAGGAAGCACATGCTATTGTCTTTAAATTTGTACAAGTATTCTAATAATTTGTACATGGTACACATTTAATTCTATCAGCACAGCAATCCTATGGCCCCCAAGTGTCTAGAGAGCCATAGGGTCATTTGGATTCCCAGATCCAAGTTCAGAAAAGAGCGTTGACCTCAGAACTGGGGCCCCTAGCCTGTTTCCCTCTCCCCTGTGATAATGGGCATGGAAAGAACCACACTGGTTGCTTCTCCAGGTTTGTAAGACTGACCTTGGAGGAATGGTAAAGAGGGCTTCCTGGGAAGCAGGAAGGAGTCGTGGCAGTGCTCCAGGCTGCTGCTCTCCCTGTCCAAAGTGCCTCAACTGAATAACCAGAATGGGCCATCCAGTTGATTTGCAGGGTGGGAACAGCACAGCAATGCAAATCGCCTCCATGGTGCTCACACCTTGCTTATGGTGCTCATAATTCCCCCAGTTCAGAGGTGTATGGACATCTTCAGATTGTGCCCTAAGTGTATGTTAAGGTTTTCCTCTGGTGTATCGAAATGGAAGATCAAGCAGAGGTGCTTTGTCATTTACAAAAATAAGTCAGGTAACAGATGAAATTAGATCAGTCGTTTGAGCTTCTGATAATTTTCTGATGCAAAATGAAAAGCTTCCAAAGGAAATGACCTTATGCAAAAAGAATGTTTTTTTCCAGAACACCCACCTCACAGCCTCCAGATGTTTTGGAATACACCTGCTCCCAGTGGGCAGGTGGATGGCAGCTGATGTTGAAAACATCTGGGTGGGACCAGCTTGGGAAAGCTCTTCTAGTAGTTCTGAAGATGGTACTATTGCACCTCCATGTGTCTTTGGAAGTATGGTCAGTGTTATAGCACCAATCTTTTAAAAAGTAATTGCAAAGGGGATGGAGGAGAAGGCACACACATGAGAATTTGCCTGCTTTCTGCCTCATCCTGTGACAGGCTGAGAGGGGCATTGTGACCTCAGACATTTCCACTGTATCGCTTTTGAGGGATGCCAGGACAGGGCTATATCTGCCTTCTCCAGCCTTCAGGTTGCCCTTCAGATGTTTGGGGCTTCAACACCCACCAGCTTCACCCAGCATGGCCATTGGTCAGAAATGCTGGTAATGGTCCAAAACATCTGGAGGGCACCATTTTAAGGAGAAGTGTGGGATAAAATGCTTGCATCAACTTACCCATAGCGTTCATGTTGAAACAACAAATGTTTTGGTGTCTTGGTTGCTTTGAGAAAGCTTGGATGCGTGAATGTTTTCTGTGAAGTGCTTAGTGTGGAAAGGACTGAGTTTACAGTGCAAGGATTCTTATAGTCACCATGGTGATAAAAAGAAGAAACAAAACTCAGAATTTTTCAGCACTGAAAAATCTGTCAAACAAATTATGGGAGCACAATAAGCAGTGCAAATGTATGCAGATCTGTTGCTTTAAATGTTTCTAAGTTACAGACATGGCGGTGCTGAAGTGGCATTATCTAGACTCAAGCAGAACTTGTAGATTTTACCCCACTATTGACTTCTTACACATTTGTCAGATATAAATATAATTTTAGGACAATTCAGCATTCAGTCACAAATAACCCCTCTTATGGCAAGTTTCCAGGTTAATGATAAATCGTTAGGAAGCCCTGTTATTACTTTGTAACAAAATTGTGGACACCAATAGCTTGTGAATTATTTACGACTTCCTTCATTAACACTCTACAAGTGGGAGTGCAATGAGGAGGCGATAAGATGGGGTGAAATGTGGCGATTGCTGGGAATTTTGTGTGAATGTATGAACAAATTATCCTTGTAGGGTGAACTCTGTGTCTCATTTTTCAAAAAAAGAGGAAACAAACTATTTATTGCTTGAAAATGCAGCAGCTGCAGTCCATAAGCAAAATAAATTTGCAAGTTTTGAACACACAATCATCCTCACAGCCATCTTATTAGCCAGTATTTCCAATTGTGTTCAGTTTCTCCTTTCTAGAGTATTAATGGTGGCAAGAACATGTTGACATTGGAAGATGTTTCCAACCTAGGATTCAATCACACGCCTTTAAAATTCATTCCCCATCCAGTCTCAAGGGAAATACCTATGATGGGAAGATGATGGCATCTGTGGCGTGCATGCGAGAGGAATGCTCATTTCACATGATGCAAATCCTCTAACTTTACAACTCAAGATTCTGACTGTACATTTTTGTAGGATTAAGATTGATTTTAGTCCTTTCAAAACGCACCCTCCTAATATTAAAGTCTTTGTAAAGTGCCAGCAACTTTATATGAATGAAAAATAGATGA